TTTAAAATAAGTATATCCGAATTCATCCGCGTAGCCTCAGATTTACCAAAGGGTCAAGGTGGCAACGGGGCATCTTCTCACGTGTTCAAGAAGATGGCGAAAAACTAGAACCGTCATTTTTATTCGAGTTCGTCCAGTGAAATTCATTAATCGTAAATTCCGTGGAAATCACGTAAAAATTACTTGCATCAAGCGCCTACGCAGCATCAAGTGCGTGGAAAAAGAAATCGATATCTCGATCGATACCGATTATCGAACAGCAGGATTTTCGTGAGTGTTTACACACCGCCGGCGGGTGCCAACGAAAAGCAGAGACTTTGAAGCAGTGCCTTCAGCTCCTAAACAGAAGACATCCGGACCTCCATCGACACCAAAGTCATCATCGACCAAAGGTATGATCTGAGGCCCGTTTTAATACCATTCAATACAGTCCACTTCTCTTCTCGAGTTCTAGTATCAATTTAAAAGGTACTTTTCTAGCCTGTATTATTCAATCATTCATTCATAAAATTTGAATTCAGGCTATTGAATAAACATTTTTGATCCTTAGAGCCCGATTTTCTGGCAATTTCATTCATATTCATCCATATTTTTCACGGTTGTAATCTACCCAAAGTTATTACAGTATTTCTGAGTTTTCATATTTATCCGTTCAATTCATTTGCAGTAAGGGCTAAAATTCCATGCACACGCTATACAATTAACAGTTCGAGCATTTGATATTCGCAAGCAAATTTAACCTCAACGGCGGCCGGAGGAAGTGGGGCGAACGGAATCTCGCCTGCTCTTCGCGTCGACCAGCTGAAAAAGCGCGGTTGCCGAGTCGTGCTTTTTGTGGGTGGTTCTCTTTAATTGACAAAATTCTCAACTTTTCTAAATTAATTTGAGGAAATACATTGATTCTTTTGATTTGAACCTTTCAATCATTCAAAATGGCAGATGCTGAAAAATTACGAAAAAATAAAAATTTTAGACAATCCGAAATACAGCGTATTTCTGAGTTGCATAGAGTGGCAATTGCGGCTGGGACCGATAATACATTACATGCATTATTCAAATCCCGTTTTACCGATATTGATGAGATAAAACGTGACTTTTATAAATATCATAACGTGGTCATCGGTCTTACTGTTGAATTTGACGAAGAGGATGCCATAAGAACCAACTTCGATAAATTATTTCATGAAACTAAAACGATTCATTTCAATCTCTTTGAGGATCAAACAACTAATGGTCCTCCCCCTCCACCAGCACCTCCAAATAATATATCTCTGCCTAAGATCAACTTGCCAGTGTTCAGTGGGGACATCACGTCATTTCCTTCGTACATTGATATGTTCGATGCTATAATTCTTCATAACACTAACCTTAGTGACATAGAAAAATTCAATTACTTGCTGTCGTCTCTGAAAGGTCAAGCTCTTGCATTAATTCAACACTTGCCCATGACAGGAAATAACTTCCAAATTGCCTATGACACGTTGGTTAAACGTTTCAAAAATACAAGATTACTCTCCGCTGCTCATTGGTCAGCCATTGAAAATTCACCAAAATTAAGTTCAGATGATCCAGTGGCGTTACGAAATTTGTTGGATATTTTCGAAGATAATTTATCAGCATTAAAAAACTTGAAGTACCCTGTTGACCAATGGGAATTCATTCTAGTCCAGATGCTGTTAAAACGGCTGGATGTGACGGTTGCAACTCGTTTCGAACTTCACCACAATTCTTCGGAAACTCCAACATATCAGCAACTGACTGATTTCCTCACTAAACACTGTGTAGCCTTAGATAATATCAAATTATCATTCAAATTGAAAACCAAAAGAGAACAGCCTAAACCTTCAATCATGCCATCACGAATGGACTATTCTAGAGACTATCGCCCCTCGACATCGCTCATGGTTCAAACATCTTCAAAGAAATGCTTTTTATGCTCCAAAGATCATTACCTGTACAAATGTACAGAATATTTGAATAAATCTCCTTCGGAAAGATATCAGTTCGCCAAAGTGAGTAAACTATGTATCAATTGTCTGGGTGGATCCCACTCGCCAAAGCAATGTAAAAGCACCAGTTCATGCCATCGCTGTGGTCAACCTCATCACACCACGCTACATTTCCCGAAGGAACAACATAGACATGTTAATCCCTCGGTTAATTCTGGGACGGTTCTTTCAGAAAATGATCAAACGACCGGTCCTTCTACTAGTACTTTCAGCACTCCAGGTGTTTCGTCTTTGCATGCTGCCTTTCTCACCGCTAATTCTAGTGTATTACTGTCAACCGCGCAAGTTGAAGTATTCGATTCACTTGGTAACTCTCAAAAGCTGAGAAGTCTAATTGATTCTGGCAGCATGACATCGTTCATATCCAGTAGGTGTGTTAAGCGACTAGGCCTGAAGAAGGTTGATTTCACTCTCAATCTCCAGGGCCTTGGGCCTATGCAGACCCTATCGAATCACGGTGGAGTCACAATTTCCTTTAAGCCTGTTCTGAAATCCAATTCCGTTCTGTGTACTGATGCCATTATATTACCTAGAATTTGTGCAGATTTGCCTTCATCCATTATTGATTCAACTAAATGGACACATATTTCGAATCTGCAATTAGCTGACCCTACCTTCGACCAACCCGGCCCTATAGACCTCTTATTAGGAGCCGATGTCTTCACACAAATCCTCTTGGATGGTCGTGTCCGTGGAGAGCCTGGTACCCCCGATGCTCTCAACACGATTTTCGGTTATGTCCTCATAGGACAAGTTAATACACCCAATCCTCCAGGTATCACATCACTTTTCTCTAATTTTCAACTTCAGTCCCTAGATGAAAGCATACAAAAGTTTTGGGAAGTTGAACAAGTTCCTGAAACTGCAATTCATTCAGAGGATGATAATCGTTCTGAACGAATATTCTTGGAATCCTACTCCCGGGATGTTTCGGGAAAATTTATCGTAGCATTACCTTTCCGAGATGAAAGCCCTACATTTCCAAATAGTCGATCTTTAGCACTGAACCGGTTTTATTCTCTTGAAAAACGATTATTGAAAGAACCCGAACTATATGCCAGATATAATGATTTCCTGAAAGAATATTTGGAGTTAGGGCACATGGAGTTGATAACTCATGATCCATCTCCCTTATCCTACTACATTCCACACCATTGCGTGGTAAAACCTGAAAGTGTCAGTACCAAACTGCGAGTCGTTTTCAATGCCTCTGCGAAACTTCCGGGTCAAACTTCTTTGAATGATCATCTCCTAACGGGACCCAAGTTACAAAGAGATATTATCACCATACTACTTTGCTTTCGATTACATTCTTATGTTCTTACCGCGGACATCAAAATGATGTATCGCCAAATTCTAATCAAGCCTGAACATCTCGACTATCAGAGGATCTTATGGAGATTTAATTCTTCGAGCCCTGTTCAGGATTTTCGTCTACGAACGGTCACCTATGGAATGTCGGCTAGCCCCTATCTTGCCATTCGCACTCTGCAACAGCTTGTTATCGACGAAGGATGTTCCTTTCCTTTGGCATCTCATGCCATTGAACACGATACATACATGGACGACATCGTTACTTCAATCCCTACTCTCGACGATGCGGCCCAGCTTCAAATTCAGTTGATAGATCTTCTAGCGAAGGGAGGATTTGAACTCAGGAAGTGGTCTAGTAACCATCCCTCCTTACTGGCTCACTTACCTGACACTCACCTTTCGATAAACCCTCTTTCGTTTGACTCTGACTCAGAGAGTGCGCTGAAAATTCTAGGGTTGCAGTGGAATCCTACTGCTGATGCCTTCAAGTTCTCCATAAATCCAGTTCACTCGGAATGTACAAAACGAAATCTATTGTCCAACCTTGCGCGAATCTTTGATCCGTTAGGTTTTTTATCTCCTATTACGTTCTTGATAAAGCATCTGATTCAGACTCTATGGAGTCTTCAATTAAATTGGGATCAGGTTCCACCTCCCGAGATTATCCGTCTTTGGGAACAATATATTGCAGAAGTCCCATCGTTGACTCATTTCGGGTTA